CCACCCTCCATTTTAAATGGTAAGATCTAATCCTGCTGAGAGTCATTGAAAAGGCAATTATTTGTTTTCATGTATTTATGTGATGCATTGAGGGGAGACCACAGGTTGTGCTGGCTGCGGCAGAGTGGCAGTGGCAGTGCTGCTGTGGCGGGTAAGCTAGTACCTGGCACTTGTCTTCAGCGTCTCATTTCCATCCCAGCCTGCGGAGTCTATGGGGCCTGTGGGGTCTGTGGAGTGCACAAACAGAGATGATTAGGGTTTAAAAGATGCAAAGGTGACTGGGGGCGCCAAGCAAGGCTGTGAGGACAAGTTTCAAAATGAAGATTTGATCCCATGGTAAATGAAAGAATGAAAACATAACCTTTATTTTATAGGGAAACCCCTCCCCCCATTACACACACACACACACACTTCATAAACTTCTAAGGTTCCTGAGGAACCCCCCCACCCCAAGCTTCCTTTGCCCAATGGTGAGAGAGGCTGAATGAAATACCTTTCTTTTCTTTGGAAAATACTCATTAAGCATTCTATTCTCCACTCCTTCCCAGCCCCTGACTTTAGCCCAATGCTAGAACCCATGGAGTGATGGCTGTGATGGCATTCAGCATGCTCCCTTCCCAAGCTTCCTGTAGGAACAGAGCCTCTCCCCAGCTGACAGACCCAGAGGGCAGCCACCCTGGCCCGAGCCCGCCTCTTTACAGTGGATATACTAGACATACTACCTGCAGACCTTTACGGCTACCTCTGCCTGCGCCCACATATTGATCCCAGTGGAGGAGGACTAGGAGATAAAGCCTCTAAAACTCTAAGACGGCCCTCCCTATCTGCCAATGGCTACTTTTCCTCATAAAATAATCCATGGGGAATCCTCGCAATGTCATGCTCAGCTTCACTTTTAAATATCTTTTTCCAGCAGCCCCTTCAATGACAAGCGCCTTTCTCTCTCCCTGCCCTCGGTGAGCTGTGTGGGTGAGGAGCTAGGGCAGCTCTGCCTTCTGGAAAGGGGGGTGCGGAGGGTTAGGAAGGAAAAGGGCAGCAGAGACTCAAGTCAAGCAGGGCTCCTGGCTTTTCCCCCTTTCATTACTTATGTGTGTCCACTGAGCTGTCCTGCTTCTGTTTTGTAATGGGTTCTTCCATGGCAAGCTGACCTTTTGGCTGAATAGGTCAAACTCCCACTGAGCACTAATCCTCAGCCTTCCTGGCTTTTGTGCCTCCCCAAGGGTGACAGCCCTGGTCAGGAATATGACTGGGGGTGTGGGGTCTGTTTCCCAAAAGGGGGGGTTGGTTGTCTTTCACCGACTGAATTAATTCTCAGAGACTGCCTCACAGGGTTTGCAGAAGAGTCCAGTCCTAACTATGCAGAAGAGTCTAGATTAGAACGTTTGGACCACAATTGTTGTGGGACAAAACTGACTTCTCACATGCATATTGAGGTGTGGTTTCCTTCCGTGGCTTCTGCTTTTTCCATGGGAGAAAGGCCACGGTTCAGAGTCATCAGGTCATTTGATATTTCTGAGATAACAGCGATTCTGTAGTTGATTTTTTAAGAATCTTTTCTTTTATAAATCTCTTCTATTTAAAATATTCCAAGCCTCTAGGTGTTTTCTTTTTAACCTCTGCAAAACATGAAATAACAATGCTGTGGTATTTGTTGATAATGATATGCTGGGCCCAGCTTTCTTGTAAGTTGCTTAAATTTTTCTTTTGGACTATTTTTTTTTTCTTTTAACAGTTTGTATAAGCTGTCAAACTTCTGACACTCTCACATCTCCCTACCATGAGGTAGAGACATAATCTTCATAGACAAGCGGTTGCATATTCCATTTACTTAGCAGTGCCCTGTGTATGTCCTTTTTGGTTAATTTAGTGTTCTTTATATTTCAAAAAGTAGTATTTTTTAATTGGACAAACAAATGAACTGTATCATTTGGTCAGATGAAAGAGTAATAATAAATGTGCATTCAGCAGTAATAATGGTACATTCTGTTTGGACTAGCAAATGGTTTCAGTATCTGCAGACTTCCCAAATCCAAGGACCTGAGAGAGCTTCTGAGGCAATGGATTACTTTTCTGAGGATGATGGGCCTACGGAGGAAATGCCTCTCTAGTTTTGTTGCTTCATTGGTGGTACTATAGAGCCACAATGATATTAACTTAGGGAAACAAAAATAGCTTTATTTTCATTCTTTCTGAGTTATCAGGTTATTGTTTTGATCTCAAAAAGCCAAATGCAATAGGATAAAAAGTACAAGATAAGAAGCACATTTTTAATGTCTATTCAGTCACCAATAACACTGAAGTCAGACCTGGTCTTCCAGCAGGGACATAATGGGCTCCTGTTTAACATATTTATGTCGGTTGTAAAATTAGGAACTGTCATTACAGCCCCACATCACCTGCATAAGTGCAAAACATATAAATCACGAGAAATTCCAGTAGCATAAAAATGCCATTGACTAGAATAGCATGGAACCATTTGTAAGATACCTGTGCATCAAGCTGGCGTGTACTGGGATGCACACTCACCTTTCGAGAGGATTTGAAAGACAAAGAGGAGTAACTATGCAGGAAGGACTCATGGATGGAAGACCTGATGAAGACATCGGGGATCCCCAGGTTGACTGCATTTTCTTAAATGAAACCCCTAAATATTTATGTGTTTGCAGTATTGACTTAAGGAGCAGCCCGAGTCCTAGGTGGAGAAAAGGAAGGAAAAGACAGGCCTTTAGTGGGCAGGTGTGCATAACCTGCAGCACCACTGTGAAGGCAGCTGTGCTTCAGGAGTGAGCACAGCTGCCCTGTGTCCCTACTGGGACATGCCTCTTGGGCTTCTAGGGAGTATGCACACTCCGTACGCTGTGATGTGTTAATGTCTTCTATAGGTTGTGACTATTGCTCTCCTGGCTACCTCTTAAACCATTTCTTTGTAGAAAAATCTGTCTCTAAAAGCAGCCCATTTTCTTTTGTGGGGTTCAATGGTTTATTCTGAATTTTGTAATTGGAAGTCCTGAAATGCCCCTAAATTATGAACTATTAATATGGCGCGTTTGGGATCCCAATTACTGTTCAAAAACAGAGTGGACACTTTTAAAGTTTACAACTCCCCCCTCTCTCCCTGGTATTCCCTCCCCCCCAGAATCTTTAAAAAAAGAAAAGACTGCAGATTTTATTCATGTGGGATCATTCACACCAAGCTACCATAATGTGCAATTAACACTCTAGAAACTGAAAACAGTATTCAGCAAGACAGCTGCATTATCAAAGATGCCAAAAGAGTTTTGAAGGGAGTAATGTGCGTGTTAGAATAGAAAATTAATCAGACAGAGAGAGAGAGAGAGAGAGAGAGAGAGAGAGAGAGAGAGAGAGAGAGAGAGAATTCAGTATATCTGAATATTTAAATTTTTAAAATATTGTGTCCGTGTCAGTATATACTAATAAAAATTAACCTTAGGATAGGAACCTGATTTTTCTGTTTTTAAGATTATTAGTTGTGTGTTTTCCTGAAGCAAATGAGGAAGTCGGAATAGAGAGCTCTAAGATCCCTGCCAGCTGGAGTATTCTCAGATAATAATCACTCTTCAATTATATTTTATCAATTTTTCCATTGAAACAAAATGCCTCTTTTATTTCTTCTTGCCAATAATACTGATACTTAACACTCATGCAGTTTTCAAAGTGTCTTTCAGACACTGACTCACACTTGCAGGAGTAAACTGCCTACATTTGCACAGCACGACAATCACAAGTACATTTATATTATAATCCCTACTAAGCCATGGATGCAACCGACTGACTTAGTAACTGAGATGAAGCACAATTATCCCAGGAGCATTTTGCTGAATATTTTCTGTAACTATGGAAGTGGGTTTTAGAAAAAAGTGTGTGTGGGGGGAGGGGTATTGTATTTTCAATTTATAGTGTCTAAGTTTGAGGGAGCAGAGGTTTATAGTAACATTTTCAAGTAATGAGGCAAGACATGGGGAATTTACTTGTTGGAAATAAGGAAAGGATCAGATTTTTTTTTTATGAATTACTATAGACCACAAAGACTTTTATGTTTGAAAACTTACAAAAGATAAAAATTCCCAGAACAGCTTAGAAGCAAACTGTGAGCCCATACAAAAAATTGTGTGCCCATACAAAAAAAATATGTATAGAGAAAACCCTCAATTGTGGATCCCACAAATATCTGGCAGCAAGCTCACCTCTGTTAAGGATAGGGGGCTCCGTGAGTGCAGGGGCCTGTGGGGTGCCAGGAAGAGCAGGACTATCGGTGTGAGTGGGGAGCAGGAGGGTGCCCAGGAGAGCACAGTCTCTGCACTGGTGAGGCACAGGCTGAGTGCGAGGCCACTGGGCTTCTCCAAGATCCTGCAGGAATAGTCAGTCACAGGCGAATGTTCCGTAAATAGAAAGATCCAGCCACCCTGAGACACTTTACACTAGTGTAAACAGTCATTAATGAGAGTCTCTTCTCCAACATGTTGTACTTATTAAATTATGATAAAGTTGGTGCATTAGAACATTAAAAAAAAAAGCTGCTTTTTTTTTTCTAGCCTAGAGAATATGAAAAGTTTAGGTTTTCGGTTTTATCTGGGGCAACAGGCAGTATGTGTGGACTTTAAAAATACCTAAATTTTAAAGGGAAAAAAAAGCACTAATTTATCTTAATTGAATGTGAGCATTCATGTTTTGCTTCAATATAAGGAAAGCAGTCCAAGATAATTTTTTTTTTTAAATCTGGGTATGGTTTGTTGTTATCTGACTTGGAAATTCAACCTCTGCTTATGCTCACACAACTCAGGGCCAAGTTAACACTTGCTGTGTTTCTCTGAGCAGTCATTGTTATAGTACCTAGTGATGTAATTAAAGAAAATTAAGTTAATGGTATGAATCTGAGCTCCAACTTAATTATTTTCTTTCTTTTCTTCCTTTCTGTTTCTTTTTTATTCCCCCCCCCCCTTTTCTTTTTTATTTTTTTCTTTCCTTTGTTTTTCTCTAAGTTATAGGTGCACAACGAAGGAGAAGCCCCAGTGCACTGGCCATTGAAGTATTTGAAGCCCATTTGGGAAGTCACATTTTGCAGGTACCTCTAAGAGCAAAAGAAGCTTGCTTATCTCTTACTAAGAAAATTCCATGGGTTTGGTCTTCTATTAATTTTTTTTTTTAATTTCAACTATTGTCTGTGGCTGGATGTTGGAATTCTGAAATTCTTATGAGTCCTTTTTTTTTTTCTTTTTAGAAAGCCATCCTTTGAGAGAATAATAATGAGAGAGGGAGGGCAAGTATTATTTGTAATAATTGAGATGAAATGTGCTGTTAGGTTGATGCTCAATGTATAGTAGCTGGCTGTTCCCAGAATGATAGTGTGTGTGCTGCATTTGTAAGTGGATATGTGTGTGTGTCTTTGGAGCTATATATTGTTTTAGGCAGAGCAAACTTTTGTGAAAGCAATGTGACATTTGTATGTGTTGCCAAATTTCAGTTGTTCTTTGCTTGAGTTTGCATTCATAAATGCTTCAAATCTTAATGTCTGTCTCTCCCCCCAATTAATTTTATCAGAGTGAAATCTTAAAGCATATTTTTAGTGAAAGGAGACAATAATAATAATTTAATTTTAATAATGAACTTCATGACAGATAAATGTGAGGGTGACTAGAAGGACCTGCAGTTAGATATTTGTCTGAGAGCAGCATCATGCCCAACTCAGAATCTCAACTGAAAACTTTTTTTCCCAAGACTGCCATCACTTCAGCACATCCATGAGTATCATATTTTCTGGTGTATAAGATGACTTTTGAAACGATGTACAGTATCAATGTACGGTATATAATATTACGGTATGTTCGAAAAATGTCATTCATTAAAAATTTAATTTTAAAAAAGAACTGGTGTTGCCTCGGAAGTGGGGGGTAGTCTTATACAGTGAATATAGGCCTAAACCTATGTTTTAACTCTAAAATTAGGGTGTCGTCTTATACACCGGAAAAAATATGGTAATTGCTCGCCATTGTTTCTGCCTCCAAGGTTGATGTTGCCATAGCCAAAGCTTTCTTTAACTACATAAGATATGTTTTGAACGTGAAATTAGAGAAACAAACACGTTTAGGATATTTAGGCAACTTATTGGCGGAGGGGGGGGTGGTTATGGGTCTATTTTTTTTTTTATTTTTTTTTTTAGTTAAAAAAGAAAAGTAAACTCCAAATTCCTATTCAGTCAGAGTTAAAAACATGACTTCTGTGGTGATTTTGTTTTTCTAGACAGCCAAAAGTAGTGTTGCATTTAGCATGAGTCCTGAAAACAAGTTCTCTAGAAAACTATCTCCACCAGATTCTCCATGGTTGAATCTTAGTGGGTCTACAAAGTGGTTCCTTGGCCAGTAGCCTCAGCATCACCTGAGACACGTGTTTAAAGGACACATTCCTGGGCCTCCCTCTGAACATGCCAAATCAGAATCTTCAGGGTGAAGCCCAGTGATTTGTGATTTTTAACAAGCTTTAGAAAAAATGTGATGTTTTATTAGTACTGAGATGTCAGTTTACATTTCCAAACTTAAGGACCTAAAAAGACTTACTTCGCTTGTTTATTTTTGTTTATTCTGATGTTTCTCATTTATCCACTAGTATATCTTAAAATCCATGCAACAGATGTTTCTTAAAATACACCTTAGGAGATGCTATTCTCTCATGCATATAAATTTTGAATTGCCTTTGCAGTATATTGGTTTCAGGGCTATAGAAAGGAATTTGCTTTCCAGATCTTCGGATTTTTCTCTTTCCTGTACAGACTTTGTTCAGAATTTCCTTTATAAGAATTATATAAGCCATGATATAATATACATGTATCAAAATGTGATTCAGGAAGACTTCTATTTATATCCTGAAGTGATCAGTGCATTGACTTAGTCCACAAAAGAAATGATTCAAAGCTCCAGATTATTACCCTCTGAATTCTCTCTAGAATTTGGGTCCAAGGTCCTCAAAAGAGGTTGACTTAGGAACTGCAAGAATTTAAAACAAAAACTTATAAGCTGAATTGAACATAAGCTTAAGATAAATGTGTGGTACAGAATGACTCCAAAAGCTATTCAACATTGAGCTTCATTGAGAGAATAGAGGGTCTGGAATGAGGCTGCTGAGCTCTTCTGCTGTTTACCTTGGTCACATCTGATGCAGACAACCCATTTTAAGACAAGCAGCAGCCAGATGTTATTTACAGTGAAATAACCTGACTAGTTAGTAAACTAGAAATCATGTTACGTGAGGAGTGGCAAAGGGTATGGTGAGGTTTAATTTGGAAAACACTTATCTTAAATGGAACATTAACATCCTCTGTATTGGAAAGTCTCCTTTGAAACAGAAATGTGTATATTCTGCGTGGCTTCAGAGTGTGGAAAAGAGAAGTGGGCAAAAACTGAAGAGAGAAAAAATCATCTTCATTAAAAAAGACTTGCAAATAGTGTCCTCATGTAGAATATGTTCAAAGCCTTTGAATTTAAGAAATAGAGGTGGCTTGATAGGGATGCTTTCACAACAGTGAGGCCTCCAAGTATGACTTCACTAGGGCAGTGATTGGCAAACTCATTAGTCAACAGAGCCAAATATCAACAGTACAACAGTTGAAATTTGAGAGCCAACTTTTTAAAACTTAAACTTCTTCTAACGCCACTTCTTCAAAATAGACTAGCCGAAACCGGTTTGGCTCAGTGGATAGAGCATCGGCCTGCGGACTGAAGGGTTCAGGGTTCGATTCCAGTCAAGGGTATGTACCTTGGTTGCGGGCACATCCCCAGTAGGAGGCGTGCAAGAGGCAGCTGATCAATGACTCTCTCTCATCGATGTTTCTAACTATCTCTCTCCCTTCCTCTCTGTAAAAAAAAATCAATAAAATATATATATATTTTAAAAAATAGACTAGCCCCGGCCTTGGTATTTTGTGGAAGAGCCACACTCAAGGGGCCAAAGAGCTGCATGTGGCTCGCGAGTCACAGTTTGCCGACCACTGCACTAGACGATCCTGAAAGGGTAATATGGTTTCCATATTTTCCTTCTGGGGGATCCATGTTTGAGTCTGGTTGAATCAAGGGAAAAGAGATGTATTCTTTCTTCCCTTTATGCTGTCCTTCCTTCTCTTATAAATATCAGATAAAAACCTATGTGGTCAACATGGTTTCTAACCTCACAGTCTACCATCATTACCAAAATATATAAAATACTTGGTAAGAATATAGAATTCAAAGCAGTAGGTACATGATTGCTGTGCTCAACTAGCTTGCAACCATTTGGGAAAAGATGAGCCAGTAGCCCTCCTAAAGTGAGAGCATCATACTGGTCAAGCACTAAGAGGCTACAAAGCTGGGAGGCTGAGTTTGCCACAAACCAGCAAAGAAGACTTCTCAAAGTTAGGTAGAGAACATTGAATAAGATTCCAATCAAATAAGATTCTGAACACAAAGGCATGGGGACAAGAAGCTGTAGATCTTGTTTGGAAACTGTTAAGGTGTTTACATTGATGGCTGCTTCACATGTACAGGGACACACATAAGAGCTAAAGATGGAGAAGCTATCTGAGCCATATTATGGCAGGCCTAGTGAGCCAAGCCAGGATGCTCTACCCATTGATGAGCTTATGAAGAAAGCTTTTGTACAAGAGATAAGAATTTGGTTTATTTCCAGAGTTGTCAAAATATGGTATCTAGAGAGTCTTTGAGTTGTGAGAGGCTAAAATAGAAACCATTTAGGAAATTATTACAGCAGTCCAAGATTCCAAATGAAGATTTTTCTCCAAGATATAGTGTCTCTGAATGGAGAGTCAAGTATGGAATTGAGATTGAATTATTAGATGTGAAAGGCTAAGGAATGACAGGAATTAATAATGACCACAAGTTTTCTAGATTGGAAACCAGCTGTCTGTACCCTTATCTGAGAGAAGTTAAATGGGATATTCTCTTAAATAGCCACTTGATAAATGTAAACAATTGGGAACCTAGTCTGATTCTCTAGAACAAGATAAAGTCTAGGACTGAAAATAGACCTGGGGATTACTAATCACTATCATAGGGATGAATGAGAGTTCAAATCAAGCAGTGAATTGCGGAACCATGGAAATAATGTGGAGCATTGAGAGAAGACGGTTGAGGAGAGGCAATTCCAGTGAATATCACTTAAGATGCAAGTAGAAGATGAGGAAAGAGTAGACAGAAAGGTAAGAGGAAACCATGGGGTTTTACTTTGCTTAAGGAAGGAGCATTAATAATGTCAAGGTAGGTAAGGCTAAATCCTTTAGTAAGATATCGATACATACTGAAGATGTCATAGGTTTTGTTCATTGAAATAGTTATAATGAGGTTGATAGGTGCAGAAGACAAACCTAAATAGTGATACAGGTGTCTGGAATTTGTAGTAAAAGAAGGGTGGAAGATAAGAAAGCAGTGTGAAGGGAAATTTTTGTTTTTAATGTTGTTAGACGGTATGTCTGAGGTTCATGGAATCAATCATTGCCAATCGTATGCTCTTTAACAATCAGCTTTTCAAAAATCAATATCTTGTGGTCATGTCTATATTAAGAAAGGATTAGCTTTCATTATTATTAATGGTTATATACTATTCCATTCCATAATTTATATAACCACTTTTCTACCATTAAATATTTTGACCATATGTATAAATTTGCATTTATTTCTTGTGTGTATTTATTTAAATTATATTTTTATTAAATTTATTGGGGTGACATTGGTTAATAAGATCATCAAGATTTCAAGAATAAATTGTTATTTCTTATGCAAATATCTAGTGAGAGATTTTTGAATTTCTAGTGTGTGTGATATTCTATATATTGTTAAGTTCTCCTCTTATATCATTAAATAACAATAAGTACTTATGATATAGGTGTTATGATTGTACACATCCTAAAACTGAATAAACTAAGAAAATTTAAGTAACCAACTCCAGCTCACAAGGTTGGTTAAGTGAGAATCTAGTTTGATTTAAAGGATACTAAATACTAGATTATAATACTTCCCACGAATGATGGGGACATTTTTAAAGGCAAATGGTAATAAAAGGAAATAATTTCTGTTTGGAGTG